ACTGGACACAGTACTCCAGATGAGGCCTCACCAATGTTGAATATAGGGGAATGATGACGTCCCTCGATCTGCTGGAAATGCCCCTACTTATTCAGCCCTGGGTGGTGGGGCCCTTTGAACCTTAGTGGTGGGGCTCAGGTTTTATCTTTGTCCCTGTGTCTCAGCAAATCTAATGCCAGGCTTGGCAACCCTATTAAAATGGAGTTGTGACTTACTTTGAGGTCCCAACCCACAGTTTGAGAACCGCTGATCTAATCCAACATGTCATTATGAAAAATACTAGCTGAGGTCAGAAAGTCTGACCTCCTTTTCCCTCCCCAGGGAAGTTTGGATCTAGGCGCCTCGCCTCCCTGGTGGTGTCTGCGCCCATTTCCCTGCCCTCATGTGTGTGTTGGGATCTGGAGAGCCTCTACCTCTCTATGAAGGTCTGACTCCTCCTGTTCCCCTCATATGAGCTTGGATCTGTCGTGGGCTTCCCTTCTTGGGGTATCTCCACCCTTCACACTGTCCCTCTTCCTGTGGGAGCCAGAATGTGGAGGGACCTTGAATTTCTGGGAGAGTCTGAGCCCTTCTCCCTGCCCCCTACATGTGTGCTAGAATCTTGGGTGTCTGTCCCTTGGAGGGGGTCTGAGCCCCTGTGTGGGTGTACTGGGATATGGGGAGCCCTGTCTCTCTAAGGGGGTCTGAGCCCTTCTCCCTTTCCCCCATGTGATCCAGGATCCTGGGGGACCTGGCCCCCTGAAGGTGTGTGAGCCTCTCTCCCTCCCTCCCCACCCCCCATGAGCAGGCATGTGAAGAAGTCCTGCCCCTATTAGAGGAGAGCTGAGAACAGGCATGCTTGGTGCATATCACAGCCTCTCAACCCCTGACACTTAACAACAACAACAACAACAACAAAAGGGAAAAAAAACCAGAACCAGAACAACCCCAACCCAGCAAGCTGGGAAAACTAAAGATCTGGGAACCTCTAAGAGGCAATACTTCCCCTCTAGCAAGCACTGAGTCTGTGTATAGCAAAAAAAATTTTTTATTAAAAAGGAATCGAGCATTCACTTGGGAAAACACCACAATCATGATTTAAAAGCATGAAACCATAAGCGAATACTCACCCCCAGTACATTGGGCAGTGTCCTTTGCCTCAGTTTCCCACCTTGCAATGTGAAAGTCCAACAAATAACTGGTTTCAGAGTAGCAGCCGTGTTAGTAAATAACTGTCCCTTTTACATGCCACTCCCCTTTCCCTCTCCTGCACCCCACTCAAAGTTGGTTGTCCTTGGTCACGAAGATGCAGAGCTCAGAGGTGCATTTGCTTGGGCCCACCTCCCCGCCGTGAAATGGGAGGGAGGTGTTGAGCAATGCCTCCACTGCTGCCACTGCTCATCTCTGCTGCTGCTTGTGGCTCACTGCCACTTCTGCGAAGCCACGTTCTGAGACTCCCCCCACTTAGCCCAGCTCTTAGTGATTTCAGCAGGTAGTGGGGAACCTCTCTGTTACTGGGCTGCTTCATTGTCTTTTACTGCAACACTGTCCCCAGACCAGGCCTAAGGCTTAGTTCCTAGATGTGCTCCTCAGAGATGTCAGCTCTAGGAACCACTGAACAGAAACAAGCACTCTCAGCTGAATCCAATCAGCTCTGTCTTTAGACACTGCACAGGGGAGGGTCAAATGGTGTCTAGTGCCTGGTCCACACTAACCCCCCACTTCGAACTAAGATACGCAACTTCAGCTACATTAATAACGTAGCTGAAGTCGAAGTACCTTAGTTCAAACTTACCGTGGGTCCAGACGCGGCAGGCAGGCTCCCCCGTCGACTCCGCGTACTCCTCTCGCGGAGCGGGAGTACCGGCGTCGACGGCGAGCACTTCCGGGATCGATCCCAGAAGATCGATTGCTTACCGCCGGACCCGGAGGTAAGTATAGATGTACCCTAGGACTCTTCAGGCAAAACTCACTCCATCAGGTAGGAACACCTCCCTCTCCCCACCCACCCTTCACAGGCATTTGGCATCTGTACCCCTGCTTAGCAAGTGAGGTTCAGTTTAGGTGACCCCCTCAATCAGGGCATGTTAAGTAGTTAATGCATTACCCCTGCATGCAATGCTAAAGTGAATGGTAACCCAACACCAGCCAATGTCTATTAGTGAGACAAGGTTGGGGAGGTGATAGCTTTTATTGGACCGGTTTCTGTTGGTGACAGATACCAGCTTTTGAGCCACACAGAGCCCTTACTCAGGTCTGGGAAATGTACTGTGTGTGTTACAGCTGGTCCAATAAAAATAACAACATCACCTGCTCCAATAAAAGACATTTCCTCATCCACTTTGTGTCTCTGATATCCTGGGACTGACATGGCTACAACAACACTGTGTCCATGGGTGTGTCTATGATGGGGGAGAACTCATTTGAATCATAGAATCATAGAATATCAGGGTTGGAAGAGACCTCAGGAGGTCATCTAGTCCACCCCCCTGGCTGGCCTCTTTGTTCAGCAGCAAGGGTAGATGCAATTGCTTTAAAAACAAGAGAAGTTGCTAAGTCACCTGGCTGGGTGCTGTGGGATTCTAACTAGGATTGGTTGAAAAGTTTCCATCAAAGCTGGGTTCTTGATGAAAAAATTGGGTTTTCTACTAAACAAAACTTTTCATGAGAAGTCCATGGCAAATTTGGACTTTTCATCAGAAAACCAAAAAGCTATTGTCTTTTGGCCAATGGATTTAGGCTGAATACTCTTTTGTTTTTTATGAACATTTGACATTTTCTGTCCAAAAAAAAACCATTTTCTGACCAGCTCTATTTCTGACAGCACAGGTGGGGCTTTGGTGTTTGGGTTAAAGAAACATATTTCCAGTTTAAATATGATACTGTTTGAAATGTCTTTGCATGTGTAGATAAAGGTTTGATACTGCTGGTGTGTGTTCAGCTGCCTCCTCATATCTCTGCCAATGCACCTGAGTCCTGACCTGCAATAGAGCCTGGTATTTCAGTCCTGGCTCTCTCCGGAACAAAGACTAACAATCAAGCCAAACCATGCAGTGGTTTTGTGATGTGGGAAATTGTTTTCTATGTTCAAGGAGGAACCAAAGTAGGTTCACTGAAGAGCAGACCTTACACTGGAAATGATCATAGTTCACACTGTACTTGGCTAAACATTTTCTCCTTCAATCCTACGCCTTCGAGGGTTGCAGTCAGTCCCACAACTGCCTTTAAAAAAAACCCCAAATTTTAAATAATTCTTTTCCAGTTTTCTCAGTGTTTTCCTAATTCCCTGTATCCCGTCCCTGCATTTCTTCTGATTTTGAAAACAGCCAACATTTCCCAGGCTGCACTGCCAGCTCCACAGACAATCTCAGCTTCCTGGCATGGTAGGAATGATGGACTCTGGCATACTCCATCCCTGCACCAATCTTACTGGTCTGAGGACAGTCATGCCGATGTGGACACAGGTTTGGTGGGACTCTGCAGCTCCTCCCTGATCAAGAGTGAGGGGTCACTTGTGGGCAAGCCACCTGCTCTCCTGCAACTTAGCTCCCTTCCTCCAATGAGCCTTCCACAGATCCTACCCCCCATTTCTTCCCCATGCAGGGTCCAGGGCAGTTACTGCTGACCCGGTGCAGCCCAACACCACAGGGAGAGGGGACCCGGAAGGAGAGTGTTAATGAAATCACAAAGGATCATTTTCTCCTCCTCCCAGGCCAGTTGCCCTTGGTGGCTGTTCTTCACCCTGACAGGCCCACCCTCCCCAGCTGGCAGCTCCACTTAGCACCGGTCAGCCAGAGAGGATTTCCCTGGGCTGCTCGCCCATTCAGTGTCCCAGGCTGTTACCCAGCTGATGAACGGCCTCACTGGCTGAAACAGTCGGGAAGGCACCATTTCCCCTGGTGTAACTCCCCCAGCTGAGTGCCAGGCAGACTCCATGCGAGGGGAAGCGCCAAGGGGATGCTGAGGCCATTGCCGAGAGAGGGCTCCTCTCTGGGATCCCATTGCTGCTCTGCTGCTGTGCAGACTGGCTCCCCGGGGAAGTCCTAAGGCCTCCATGCCACGGAGAAGGTGGGATTTGGCTCTAAAGCCGGGCAATGCAGCTCTACTGCATTTATTCCCCTGCATGTGTTCATCAGCTCCCCTAACTGAGAGTGACAAGAGCTGCTATTGTGGGCATGGTGCATGTTCTCCATCGACTTCTACTGTCTGTACCTCTCCTACGGTGTTTTCTTCCTCTCCTCCCCTCTTTTCCTTCACTGTTTTCCCTCCTCACTCCTGTTTTTCTTCCCCTGCTCCCCAGGCTTCACTCTTCTTCCCCTTCATCCATCTGTCCCAATTATTTGTCCCATTCCCCTTTTCATCTTTTTTGTATTCCATTCTTTCTCTCTCTAGTCTCCTTCCTTTCTCTTTTTATCTCATCACCCAAAAAAATAAAACAAAAGGGCTGATTTGTAGAGGTACTGAGCACCCAAATCTCCAGCTGAAGTCGGGGGAGCTGGGAGTGCTCCACTTCTCTGGAAGTCAGGTCCAAGTTAAACTCCTTGGGCATCTTCCGCTAAACAGGGAGCCCATTCTCTAGCCTGCCCCGGCTCTTTCTGCTGCTCCCACCTTGCTGGACTGGCTCCTGGTGACCCCTGCTCCTCTCTGCGTGTGGTAGAGGCTGGACAGGGAGCTAATGAGACCTGGTGGCAACACCACACCATGAGCAGTGATTCCAAAACAGAACAATAAGGATCCAGATCAGCATCCCACCCAGAAACACCTGATCCCGGCGCTGGCCCCCTCCAGCCCAAAGCCTGCTGGGTGCTTAGAACTCACTCAAATCTGAGCCGAGGCCTCCAAAGGTGACAGGCTGTCAGTGTTAACCACCCACTTTGCTACTCCGCTCCAACATGCAAAATGTTTCCATGCCAGTTAACTAAGGCCTTACAACAGTTATAATCACAGAACGGGAAATCCCCAAACTCACCCATTGTTACTTTATTATCTTTACCATGACATTGTCAAACTTCTTCTTCCAGGCCTAAGAGCTGCCAGACTGTACATTGAGAAACCTGAACTAAGGATTGTTCTTGTTGGTAAAACTGGAGCTGGGAAAAGTGCAACGGGAAACTCCATCCTTGGTGTGAATCTGTTTGATTCTAAAATCTCAGCAAAATCTGTAACGGTGACATGTACGGTCAAGAAAAGAGATTGGAAAGGCAGGGACATTGCAGTCATTGATACTCCTGGTCTTTTTGACACAAAAATACCTTTAAAAGAAACTGTGAAAGAAATAGGGCGTTGTGTGGTAGTCTCCTCCCCAGGACCCCATGCTATAGTTCTGGTGATGCAGTTGGGTCGTTTCACTGAAGAAGAGAAAAATACAATTACAAGAATACAAGACATTTTTGGGCAAAAAGCTACGGAGTACATGGTCTTCTTGTTCACCAGAAAAGATGACTTAGATGGTTGTACTTTACAGGATTATTTAAAAGATTCCAGTGACAAAGATCTTCAGAAGCTGATGAAAAAGTGCGGAAATCGATGCTGCGCTTTCAACAACAAAGCGAAAGGACAGGAGCAGGAAGCCCAGATTTCAGAGCTGATTGAAATGACTGATAAGATGGTGCAACAGAATGGAGGCTCACATTATACTAATAACATGTATAAATATGCTCACATGAAACTTCAAGAAAAAATCAAGATACTCAGAGAAAACTGTAAGGAAGAGATGGAAAGAAAAGAAAGAGAGCATGATGAGGAATGTAAAAATATAGATAAGGAGCTAAAGAAGGAAGGCTCAGATGATGGAATCACTTTGAAACAAAAGACCCAACAGAAGGAGGCCCTAGGACAAAAACTGGAAAAAGATTTAGAGAAAATAAATAACAGCTACCAGGAATGCCTAAGTGAACTCAGGGAACAAGCTGATGATGCTTCTATAATAGAAGCCATTTTATTAGAATTCACACATACATTTTCAAAAATCAAATGCTGGTTTGGATAATGATTGACTTACTATAATTTCCCCTTCTCTTGTCACTTTGCCAGTTTTTCAATAGTCATAAATGGAGTTTCAGTGCTTTGTAACAATTTAACCTCCTAATTTTTTCTGCATTGAAGTTTATATTTGTATCAGCTTCTTAGTCAGGCTTATACTTTCATACCCTACAGCAGATGCATACAAAGCATGTGTAAATGAAGCTATTAGCTTTTGTTCTTTATTAACGTTGTGTGCTGGTTCCAGCTACAGTTAAAAATTCCAGCTACAGTTATTTGATCTCTTCTGAACTATGAGTTGGAATAAGCTTGGGTCGATATGATGTATTAATTGTGACTAATATTGTTGTCAATATGGTTGTAAATGTAGACGTTACTTCTGTTCAGGAATCATTTACGGAAATCAGAATCCGTTCATAAAAATAACCATTCATAAGTATTCACTGATCAGTTTGGATGAACAGTTGGTTGTTCACAAGCAGTTCATTCTGACTATAGTCAGTATTTGTAATTATGACTGGCCATCGAAGTCACATGGTATTTTTTTAGTCTTCTGGATTAAAATTTTGTAAACAAGAGAATAATGAATGATGCATGATGTGGATTTTCCAACCAATACTCTGAAAATTCATGAAACCTTCAAGGTTTGCAAATACTTTTCCAAATTCAAATCAGCACTTCTATTCACTAAACTATTTGTGACTAAATGCTTTAAAAATATTCACAGTCCTACCACATCTACCTATAGATATAGCCTACCTATAATTATGTAATGTACTTCTCCTATATTTTCCAGTTTCGCTTCTGATTTGCTGTGAAATGTCATGTTATAATTTCCATTAATTATGAATGATGCTATGAAAATAAGTTCTATTTATATTTAATCATATGTCAGCACTTGCGGTTATAGAATTTGAAAACTTTATGTAGTTTTATGCTGAATTTTAAGACACATTAACCCAGATATCATTTATGTAGCCAATTAGTTAATTTTCTCATCCATTTATGATTGTGCTATGTGATGTTATGGTCAATTTATATGCTATTTCATATACAATCAATGTATGCTTAATAGATTTAAATGGTAGGATTACAAAAGTATACGACTGATAAGTATTTACAAGTAATGAATGTGTACTAGGGTTATAAATAACGCATGACTGAAATGCTTGGCCTACTGGCTGAGACTTGTAAGATTTCATCTTAACCATACTAGGCCATACACTTAAGAATGCTTGACATGAGTGGTTAACCAACGAATAACCCTATAGTCCCAAGATTACTGTAAAGATGTACCAATAGGTGATTGTAATAGATCACAATGTATTGTCCGAGACTATGAGAGACATGATTGTAACATCTTTGAATGTCTTTCTTGACCACAGAGTACATGTCCTGCATAGATGCTAATACAGAATGAGAGGAACTACAAACAACCTATGAAAAATGGGGACCCCAATATTTATGAGGTGTGAAGTACAGATAAGGGAAAGAGGACTGACACCTTCATACATATGCAAAAGGTGTTAGGTGCAGTTAGAATTGCAATATATAAAGGGTTCCCTGGTTAAGTAAAAGTGCAAATACCCACGGGAAAAACCCAAGCAGGAACTATCCCTCTACTGATGATCAGTTGGTGAGAGGGTCCATCGGACCCTAGAATATCTTTGAGGATGTGAGTCTCATTATAGTTATAATTATTCAGTAGGTTTTTGTAGGATTTCTATATGCACGGTGTAATGTTGCACTCAATATGTTTTATGTAAATATGCTTATGAGTGTGAATATGATGTAACTGGAATATGCTTTATGCAAAAGGCCTCTTGTAAGATATCATTACAAAGCTTATAATGTACTGAGTGTGTTCATCCTATTTGTTTGCATGTATTATATCTATATCTAGAGTTAGGAGAATAAGATATAAATTTGTATTAGTGATGTAAACATATTAAGTGGAAGCCATTAAGGGTGCTTCAGAATCAATGAACTGTAAATGGCTTTGTTTACTTGCAAAAATTCCTGTGTACGTGTGGGTCAACCCAGGAAGAATGGAGGCTGGGGTCTCACAGGACATGTGGCCATAGCACATGATACTGGAATCCATCTTAAATCTGTTACCTTTCCATTTAGGAGGGGTGGGGACCCAGACAGACAAAAGATTCCTGCCTTGTACAAAAGCTATAAAAGGGGGTGGAACAGGACAAAGGGGGCCAGTCATGAGAAAGCCCCTGCTTACCACCTAAGATGTCTGCTGGAACTAACAAGGACTATACCGGGGGAAAGGATTGGGCCCAGACTAGGAAGGAGTTTAGTCTGGGAAAGAAGCTTATTGGAACATCTCTGAGAGTGAGATATTACCTGTAACCAGTTTCTTAATGTATTAGGCTTAGACTTGTTTGTTTTGTTTCATTTTGCTTTGTGACTTACTTTGTCCTGTCTGTTATTATTTGAAACCACTTAAATCCTACTTTTTATACTTAATAAAATCACTTTTGTTTATTAGTAAACCCAGAGTAAGTGATTAATACCTGGAGGAACAAAGAGCTGTGCATAACTCTCTATCAGTGTTCTAGAGGGCGGACAATTTATGAGTTTACCCTATCTCAGCTTTATACAGAGTAAAACAGATTTATTTGGGGTTTGGATCCCATTGGGAGCTGTGTGTCTGAGTACTGAAGACAGGTAACCTGCTGAGCTTTTTTCAGTTAAAGTCTGCAGCTTTGGGGGTGTCATAAATATAAAGGGAAGGGTAACAGCCCTCCTGTGTACAATACTATAAAATCCCTCCTCGCCAGAGACTCCAAAATCCTTTTACCTGTAAAGGGTTAAGAAGCTCAGGTAACCTGGCTGGCACCTGACCCAAAGGACCAATAAGGGGACAAGATACTTTCAAATCTTGGTGGGGGGAAGGCTTTTGTTTGTGCTCTTTGTTTTGGGGGTTGTTCGCTCTTGGGACTAAGAGGGACCAGACATCAATCCATGCTCTCCAAATCTTTCTGAACAAGTCTCTCATATTTCAAACTTGTAAGTAACAGCCAAGCAAGGCGTGTTAGGTTTATCTTTGTTTTCTCAACTTGTAAATGTACCTTTTGCTATAGGGTTTACCTCTGTTTGCTGTAACTTTGAACCTAAGGCTAGAGGGGGTTTCTCTGGACTCTTTGAATCTGAAGTTATTTTCCATCCTGATTTTACAGAGATGATTTTTACCTTTCTTTAATTAAAAGCCTTCTTTTTAAGAACCTGATTGATTTTTCCTTGTTTTAAGCTCCAAGGGGATTGGATCTGGACTCACCAGGAATTGGTGGGGGGAAAGGGGAGGGGGGGAATGATTAATTCCTCCTTGTTTTAAGTTCCAAGGGGTTTGGATTGGTGTTCACCAGGGAATTGGTGGAGGAGTCTCTCAAGGCTACCCAGGGAGGGAAAGGTTTTGTGTGTGTGGGGGGGAAACAGAGTTTCCCAAATGACTCAAACTATTTGGGTGGTGGCAGCAAAAGCAGATCTAAGCTGGTAGTTAAGCTTAGAGGTTTTCATGCAGGTCCCCACATCTGTACCCTAGAGTTCAGAGTGGGGAAGGAACCTTGACATGGTGAGCAGCGGTGAGGGATTTTAAAGGAACCAAAAGCCAGTATGATTTTTCCCCTCCTTTCTAGCTGCTTAGAAAGCAGCCTGAAGGCAGAGGTGTTAAGTTTTTTTAACAAGGGTCTTTGTTAAGAGAAGGTTTCAAGCTGTGAGCAAGCAGCCAGCAAAAGGAATTTACAAGCTGAATTGTTTTTTTTTTCTTTCTACCTCTACCTCTCAGGTATAGCTAGTTAGAAAGTCTCTGTTAACTAAGCAGCCCTGAGCTCAGTGCATCCCAGTTTCAGTGAACTGCAGAGGAGGTGTGACCCAGCACAGGGAAGCAGGAAAATGACTACCAGTGAGGCCGCAACTAAACTAGAGCTGGCCAGACTAGAAGCGGAAGAAAATTAAAAGAAACATCAGAGACTGCTCAAATTAAAAAAAAAAAACTCACGAAAGAAGCTGCTGAGAGAGCTATGGAGCAGAAAGAAAAACAGAAAGGAAGCATGAACTGGAGTTGGTAAGGGGTAGGCAGGAAATACCGGCCAACCCTAGCAACCCCTCTCCAGGTACCACTTCCCATCCCAGAAAATTCCCCACCTACAAGGCAGGCGATGATACTGAGGCCTTCTTAGAAAATTTTGAAAAGGCCTGCCTTGTGTGCAGCATCTCTACAGACCAGTACATGGTAGAGCTGAGGTCGCAGCTCAGTGGACCCTTAGCAGAGGTGGCGGCTGAAATGTCTAAAGAACACATGAACAGTTATGAACTTTTTAAAAACAAGGCCAGAATCAGAATGGGGCTAACACCCAAGCATGACCATCGGCGGTTCAGAGCCCTAAAGTGGAAACCAGATGTGGCATTTTCCCGACACACCTACCACATTGAAAAAAATTGGGATGCCTGGGTATCAGGAGCAAGTGTTAAATCTCTGGAAGATCTCTCTTTCTTAATGAAAATGGAGCAGTTCTAAGAGGGTGTTCCTGAGGAAGTAGAAAGGTACATCCTAGATGGGAAGCCCAAAACTGTAACCGAGGCGGGGGAGATTGGAGCCAAATAGGTGGAGGTGGCAGAAAAGGAAAAAAACTAGTAGCAGTTGGGGTGAATATCAGAAGGGGCAACCCGAAACAAAACCCTACCACTGGGGGCAACCCAAGGCCCCTCCTACATCCCAAGGGAAACCCCAGATGCCTTCTCACCCCACCACACCAGTCTCCACCAACCAACCTCGCCCCGGTGATACCTTAGCAGGGCGATGTTTTAAATGTAATGAACTGGGACATATAAAGGCCCACTGCCCCAAGAACCCCAACCGGTTTCAGTTCATTACACCAAAATCACACCAAAGATCCCCAGGCCCAGATGCCTCTCAAATACCCTCGGAGCGAAGGGAAACCTTGAGAGTGGGCGGAAAGAAGGTTATCGCGTGGAGGGACACCGGGGCACAAG